TAAGTCTGCAGCTCTTTAATATATACAATACATATCCATTTATTTCAGCAACTTAAAGTCAACCATGAGGTCTTTAGTGGCTTTTCTGAATTCTGCATTTTGAAAGTTAAGCTCGTACGGTAGGTGCGCATAAAGCTAAAGTTTGCCTCAGTAATTGACCTTCAGTAGTTGACTGACATTTATAAATTTTTATATGGTTCAAGAGTTCAATAACGCAGCATGACGAAAATTTATCGCCACAACGTGCCCATAACACCATCGGACGTCAACGTCAACGCCAACGCCGACGCCGATCCCGACGCTACGGGCAGTGGAATATTGATGACAAAACTACATGAAGCATGGCATTTTGCAATGCGTATATGTCAGATAAGCTTCCCTCACCCCTCCCTCCACTAACTGACGCACACACACACACACACCCATACAATTTGTGTTTGTTGGCGCTATTTTTTGGTTTTTATTTTAGCTTCCTTGGCGCCGTGCAATTTTTAGCTTACAGCTGTCAGTCGACTAACCCAACCAAAGCGAATCAAACCAAAGCGAGGCAAACGAAGCCTACAACCAAAGCGACCAACGCTGCCAACAACATTTGGTGGGTGCGCTTGACTATGCATGAGGCTATTGCGTCCGAGTTCCAGATAAAAGGCGAAACAGTCCTGGATGTCGGTATCACTGCCCAATAGCCAATACCCAGTGCCCGGTACTCGGCGCCAGTATCAGCAACAGAACCAGTAGTCGTCGAGTCGTGTTGAGACGAGTTGAGTCGATTGCCAAATGAATTTTGTCAGTCAGCGAAGGTTGAAATTGGCTTTTGCCTTTTGGCGAACGTATTTTGAATTTTAATGTGGGTGGAAAGGAAGGAAGGAAGGAAGAAGAACCCTTTTTTCTTGCAATGCTTTTTGTTTTGTTTTGTTTGCTGTCATGCTTGGAACACACACACATGCACACATAAGTACACACACACACACACACACACACATACGTCCTCCTCACACATCAAATGCGCATAAAATTTTAGCCGACTATTTCATTAGCAAGAGGCAAAGAGCAAAAGAATTTTTCCAAGGCGAGGCTCAGCTTTGCCTCCTTTTTTTCACTTTGCCGATGGCTGGCGAATAGAAAGGAAGAGGGGGCCGTGCTGGTTGTGGCAGGCAGCTTGAGGGCTTGGCTTGGATTTTTTTTTGTCGTACATATACGGATAAAACAAAAATCAACACATGCTTCTAGCTTGCGACATTGACAACGAGTATAGACCAACACACACACACACACACACACACACACACACACACACACGCACGCATTTAAGCAGCTAGACATAGACAACTACAAAAAGACCGCAATGCGATTTGATTAACATTTTGTGAGTTGCTAGATTGACGCGAATATATTGCAGCATACTTATGGGGGCCCAGAAGCAAAACATGCGTATGTGTGCGTTTGTAATTGTGTGCTTGCTGTTTGTCATGAGCCTCGACTGCGTCTTAGTTGCGGTTGAACACTTGGGTGAATGATTGGCAAGAAACATATTTGAATATTTGATTGTGTCTGTGTTTCATTTATTATGTAGCCCCATGCGTGTGTGTAGGTGTGTGTGTGTGTGTGTGTGTGTAAAAGGGTTGGCTTCCTTTAGTCGCCCGCTGTTAGTTTTTCATATAAACATTTGTCGTTGAATTAGTACAAAAAAACATAAAAAGAAAAAGCATCAACCAAAATGTTGCCATAACTTTTCACTTGACTGACAGTTTTTACTTTTCTCTTTGTGTGTCTGCCATCAGAGCCGTCTGCATTATGCATATGAGCTGTGTGTGTGTGTGTGTGTGTGTGCGAAAGTGTGTGTAAGGTCATGACATATACTTGACAAAACGATTTTAAGGCACTACTATGGGTCTTTGCCTTGGTTGGAGAAGGTTCCGTTTCGGGCCTCTTGCCAGTTTTCATTTCCTTTTGTTATTCGACATGCCCTGTTTGCTGCCTAGCTTGATTAGCTGGCATATGTATGTCTAAGTGTGTGAATGAAGAGCGCGACTTCAAACTTATTGGCCTTAGCTGATGAGAAGTCGAGCTGGCAAGATGAGGGCTTGGCCCTGCACAAACTTCAAGCTTTAACGATTAAAAAGGCACCAGTTAGAGGAGAGCACAAGCCATTCCAGAACTGTAAAAAAATGTTTCAGATTCAGAGACAATGGTCAAGTTGCAAATGCCACATACATTCGTTGACAATAAAATATAAAACTTTACCACATAACAAGAACATAGCCTAGGAGCACCTTTCGTCCGATGAAGGAAGATGTTTCCTGTTCGTTTGATACGGAAATTATTTCGTATGAGAACCTGGGTGTAATACAAATGACCCAAATATCAAATATTGTCGTCAATAAGTTCGGTTGCTTGGATCGAACGAAGCTTTTAGAATTACCAGGAAATATTAATGAAATATTTCAAAAAAATTACAAAAGCCTTTTTACTAATCGATTTTGGGTTTCTTTAAGAGTGTGTGCCAAAAGTCAATGATCCGGGCGAAACAATTGTATATGATATACCGAAAGGGGTAAAAACTGTGGGGATGTCCAACCCCATTGTGCAAGTAATATACGAGTATCGAATATTCAAAAAAATAAGGATGTTTTAAAGAACATACATATATGCATATATACAGTAGGACAACTGCCTATACCTTGGCCAGAAATTTCAGACTGAAGTTTTCATTTAAAAATGGAATGTCGTTTCTATTATTTTTTCCACCACTGTGTATATTGTATAAATATATATTTGTTGTTGTTGTTGTTGTTGTTGTTGTTGTTTGTTTAACGGTATAATCGCAAGTGTAACGGAAAGGATAAAATCAAATGCTCCAATGCTCTTGAGCCATTAGATTCACCCTGTTGGACTAAAATGAGGAGTCAGTTTTTGTTTTGATAAATCAAACGCTTCATCGTATACCTGCATTTGAACCACAACTTGATAAGCTTGTTTCCTTTTTAAATAGTCGTCTCAAACATTGTTTTGTTATTACTTTGAACAACAACAACAACAATGAACTCAAATTGAACGTCCATATCATATGCCAGGCAATTATCGATTTTGCTTCCTTCTCTTTCCATGACAGCCAGCATCAACATCCTTAGCGCCAGCCGTCATAATGGCTAATATGAATGCCATATGGTGCCCAATGCCGAGTCCATGTGGTGGGGCTTTAAAGCGGGGCTGTGGCGGAGGCAGAAGAAGTGGCGGAAGAAGATGAAATGCCAATGTGGGTCGCCATTATTGAAATGAACAAGACTGACGACAAAGCAAACGAGACACACGTTGTCAGAAGCGTCCGACTGAGAGATTTGTGTCAGCAACAACAACAGCAACAATTAAGACGGAAGCCAACAACAATGCAAACAAAAAAGCGATAAAAATAAATGAAAAGTGTAAAAACCCAACACTTGTGTACATGCATAAATAAAATAAAAAATATATTAGAAAAAAAAACTGGCGACAGGCGCTTTTAATGACGCAGCAGGCAAACACTTTGAAGCCCCGGGCCCACTCCCACATATGTACATACATTGCGTTTGTTTTGTTGTTGTTGTTGCTGTTGATGCTGCCTTTCCTAGAATGTATGTATATTAATAATTGGCTAATGTCTAATTAGCCATGAAATCTACACGCATGATGCGTGAATGCGTGCGAACGAGACAAACGAGGCTTCCCAAGCTAGAGGGAAGCACACACACACACTCACACACACACTCACACACACACATTCAACTTTGAAAGCAAAACTTTTACCGGCGCCAAGAAATGCGTAAAAGCAGAGTAACGGAAACATGCTCCCACCAGCCGCCCTACCTTAATTTCCCATCGGCCAGCAAAATTTCCTGCGCCTGGTGCTTTTTGCACTTCGTGCCCGTGAGAGAATTTCCCTCGCCTCTCACTGGCGAACGACGACTGCTGGGCGTCCCATCATCATCGCAGGCTACTCGTGCAATGTTTTTATTTTTTGATTTCATTTGAATAGTGCGGTGGCTTACAAGTCTGAGCAACGCCTTTGAAAAAGTGATCCTGGGCTAAAAATGTTCAAATTCTCGTTAACAAATACATAATTGATGCGAAAGCATTTAATATTACATTCTTTAATAGCCCCACAAAACTTATTTTTTATGCAAAACCAGAGCAAATCTCTATGGAGATAAAAACAAATTTACTACACAATTGGAACACAACGTCAAACTCTCTAGCAATATGTTTATATATTTATAAATGTCCTAAGCAATTGAAATGAAGCTTAATTATAAGTAGTACATAGTCTTGTCTTCAATAGTTTTTAGAAGTCATTTACAATTTGTTGCATTTTGTAAAATGTCAAACAAGTGCCCAAATGTTTTACACGGTGTTTCTAAGGGCGCTTCAAAATATGACATCATACATACTCGTAACTACATGTATGTGATTCGAGTTTTTTAATTTAAAATGGCAGACCAGGAAATACTTACCTTTGTATTTTTTGTCCCTTATAAATCTGCTGTAACTATGTATTCGATTTGCTGTTCTATTTCAGCTTCATTCGATATTTCGAAGAACGTATAGTAGATTATAAAAGAAATTATTTAAATCTATTTCGGTTTTTTAGGATTATGTAATCGCGGTTGATGCCTTAATTGAATGAGGTATAAAGACACAACATTTCTTTTTTGTGCGCCTTATTTAAAAGTATATTTTCCCGTTTTACCTGCCATTGATAGTGCAGCGCTAAAGATCAATAGATCAAGCAACTTATATGCGACATCAGTATTGCAGTAAATAATAAACAACATCGATTTCGGGAACACCCTGTTCTGGCTGTCCAGAATTCGTTATCGATAGTCGAAGTTAATTACGCAATTTTCACACACTTAAAAATTGAAGACATATGTATCAGTAAATGTCGCAGCATGCGCATCGATACATTTCAGATTTCTTTTTCTTCTTCATTGGACAGAACTCTCTTCTGAAAACTTCACAAAGAACTTAAAAGTAATATTTAATCGCCGTCTAATTATATCAATCCTCGGAGACAATCAACGAAAGTGAAGGCACGTGTTATTGGAATTTGATATCTGAATTAAATTTAATTAAAATTTGAAAGGTGTGCAAAAGCTTGGTGAAGCGGTGCAAGAAACTGCACACATACATACATACATACATACTTGCATGCATACATACATACATGCATACATACATACATGCATACATACATACATACATTCATACATTCATACATACATACATTCAGACATAATGTAATCAACTATTACCGGCGTTGCATTATTTCTTATTATACAGAATCAAGATGGCCGACAGACTCAATGACAGCGGATCGCAATTCATTCAATTAAACGTGCTGGACCGATATAATTTTCTCATTCGCTTTCTGGTTTTGAAAACAAATCCCTTGCTCGGCCTTATGGACACCTTTTGCTGCGTTAGCGGCAATAAGCGGCGCCTAGTGCGGTTCCTCTACCACGGACTTCCGGTACGCGCCGAAGACTCGCCAGCGTCGTTAGAGATGAACGATGGCGATACCATTGAGGTGCACAAACCTCAAGTTGGCGGCGGGTCTGTTTAAATATCTTCCAACTATTATATATGCACAACAGACAAAATAAAAAAATAATAGTATCAGTTTTGGATTTGGAGAATACCGATATTCTGCAGTCTTAGAAGAAGACATTTAAATTGAATTCGTCCCCAAAGAGTGTAGAAGCGCTTAATTTATTTCAAAGACGGATGACGAAGAGCTGATACTGAATTTTGTATACCCTACCTGAAAAATATAACACCCAAAAGGACTTGTTGCGGATTGTACAAAGTGTATTTATTCATATTCGACAACTGTGACTGTCTGCCCGTCCGGTCGTCTGAACCTATTTATTCATAGTAGTAGTTTATTTATTTTTCTAAGTCTAAGTCTGATGATGACTCCTCTACCAATGAGTCAAAGAAATATGCCCACTTGCAATCCTTAACTACTAGCCGCAACGAATGTTGGGAAAATTATTAATTCTGATATCCGTGTCACATGATCCAATTAACGAGTATATAGTACATGTACATGAGTTCCCGTATTGATTTAAATGATTCATCAATATTTATATGCTATTATATATGCACATATAGTATGAATGTATGTGCGAGTATGTGTAAGCTATCGAGTTGCCAAGTTTATTTATTATTGCCAAGTTTAATGGAATGAAAATTTGCAAGGAAAGAACTGACCAGAGGTGTGTACATATATTCATCTGTGGCTGCTAAGATGCGTTGATTTGGAGAAACACTTGAGTAGCGAGCATCATTTAAGACTCCTAGTAATTAGGTATATATTTATGCACAGAATTAAGTCCGGGATGTGCGTCCTTTATCGCTGCAGATGCTCTAAGTTTGGTTTATTTATGGAATTTTGATTTATTGAGGACCCAAAGCTGAATTTAAGGCACTTCTTTATTTTTCAGCATAAGCCAATTAAATCCTGTTAGTCATTACAAGAAACATTACAGCAAAAGCGCTTATGCAATAAATTAAACACACGCCCACATTCCAACTCAGCTGTGTGTGTGTGTGTGTGGGTTGTGTATGTGTGTGCGTGTATTTGATGCCTCTCCGTGCAAAATTTCATGGCATTTAAACCGCATTAAAATGAAATTAAATATTCATACAAAGTTTAACTGCAAAACAACAGCAGTGCCAGCAGCAGCAAGAACAAAAGCAACAACAACAACAACAACAACAATAATAATCAGAACAATAAAAACAACAAAAATAACAACAACTGTCTGGCTGTCATTGCTGTTAAATGACAGATAAAAAATGACAGGACAGACGCAACAAAATGGCGACTGGCAATTGGCGGGTTGGCTGTGGAACTTAGGCGACACAACGAGTGGGAGAGTGTAGAGTGTTGGTATGTACATATGTATGTGTGTGTATATGTGTCTGGCGGAGAAGTAGTTTGACGGAGGGCGGGGGGAGAGAGGGAGGGAAATCTAGAGGTCTGGTCTGAGCGTGTGCAATGCAAAGATAAATAATCCAATTAAAAATTTAACATGAGAGCGCTAAGAAGCCCAGATGGTCATTAATTCAAGCGATATGCTGCCAAGTGTGTATTCAATCAAATGGTAGTTGTTGTACGACTAGTACTGGTCACACATACAAAAAAAAAGATCCTTGCAACAGCATTGGAAGACTTTTTCCATTTTCCTAAGCGCATTAGAGCGGTTGAGTTGACTTAAAAACCAATTAAGGCAGTAATTTCTCCAAATCAGCCATCCCTCATCGATTCATGCATTTTTGTACGCCTTCTCCTTCAATAATTAATGTCAAATATTATGTATATATGTATGTATGTGTGGACTTAAATAGTAAACATTAAATAAATACTAACTAACAAAAGGTCGTATCGACATTGAAAACGAATCCTTGTGAATCGCAATGTTCAACAATTTTTGTAGCACCAACATTCTATTGTGTTTCCTTTGCAATTGATTTAAATATTTTTCCATTTTTTCAACTGACAAACTCAAATTGGTTTTGTTTGAAACAGACAATAGCAAGTGGAAAAATCAATTTATTTGCAATTTTCAAATAAACCGTTTGTTATATGCATTTTTTTCGACCTAAATATAGGTCTACATGCTTTAGCAACAAGAAACAAATCCTACATATCAGGTTCTGAAATACAAGTGGCTCCGATGTTGTTGTGGAATAATAATATCTTGATGTCAATGATGTTCAATATGAAATAAAAGATTAATAATGTTTGCTAAAATTATCTAACGGCAGTGAAAAGGTTATATTATTTCCATTTTGTTCGATCCCCATTTCTTGCGTTCTCTGAGTTTCTCGATTATTTATCTATACCTAGCCTATGGTATATTCTTGTGGTACTATCATTCATTTCCTACTGTTTGTGCTCCAAAATCTAGTGGATCGCATGGCATATGCAATTGAGCAGAAGTTTATCGCTGGCATTAAGCGGTGGCCATAAAAATGCTCATTGGCTCATAACTTGCATTTGCATTTCATTCCATGGACGGCAACGCCCCAATTGGCCATGTTTCAAAAGCTGTCGAACATTTAATCTGAATTTAATGTCAAGCATTTCATTGAACAACACTCACACGTCCGTCGACCTGGCCGTCCACCGCCCAGTCGGCGAGTCGGCGAGTCGGGCCTTATCACCAACATCCCAACCCGTGCTACAGAGTGCATAATAAAATTGTAGAAATTTAATTATGCGCAATTAATGCGCGTTAAATGCAATGATCGGGTCGTTTGAGCGGCCGGGCTGGGCAGGTCTGGTAGGGAAGGGTGGTGCTCCACTTCGAGACTGGACAAGTAGCTTACACGATGATTATTATGATGATGCTGATGCTGATGATGATGCTGATGATGATGCTGATGATGATGGTGGCAACTAATTGGTTGTGGCTGACAAATTGTCTCACATTACATGTGGATGTGGCGCGAGTTGCATATCAAAGTTGCCAGCTAACCTGCTCACTCATAAATACAAACGAGCAATGCCAATCATTCGGCAATGCAAATTGTAAATTGTTAAAGTGAATGCAAAGTGGCTGCTTGCCTCGTGCTGCAATATGATGGCTCCTGAACCATGGGCAACCATGTAGCAACTATGGCACATACTCGTATACAAGTATGGCAAGCCAAAGTGCAGCGTCAGCCACTGCGATAAACATTTGCATTTAATGGTATTCGGTTATGCGGCTGCCCGTGTAGATGGCACGATGTGCCATTAAATAAATATGCGCGTTTTGCGATCAAAGCCAAAGCCAAAGCCAAAGCCGTGAGCGCTTCTCATAAATTCGATTCTATTAAAAGCGTTGAGTTACGAGCAAGTTGTGCAACAAATCAGCGAGCACCCAGCAACAGCTGTCGGTAATTGCAAAAACTTCGACTCGGGGTCATCAAACATGAACAATAGCAGCGACAGCAGCCAGCAGCCAGCAGCCAGCAAGGTGCTCACCATCACTGAAATCTATGGGTTATGGGCGACGACGATGAAGTGATTACGAGAATGAAATGCAATTTTTCAATTTAATTATTGCTATTTATTCGTCTACGTAGTAGGTGGGACACTCTATTTGATTTGATCTGATTTCCAAAAAGTTCAAATCTACATTTAGGTGCGAGATTACAAACGGAGTTCTGTGAAAATAGACCGCAAGTGGATGAAAATAAAGAGAACTCAACAGCAATTTGTTGTTTGTACTCAACTAGAGTTCTTTCACTAAAGAATTCTATCTGTCTTTGTTTCTTACTCTCTATGGGTTTTTTCAGTTCGCTACATCGGTGCTCTTAGTTGCATCAATTACGTCGACTCCTCCACATGTATTTCTACATATGAGTCCTGTAGGGCCAGGCATTGAGCACAACAAAAACATAAGTCATTTTTAATTGCCTTTTATCGAGTACATGGATTTCTCCTGGTAATTGGAAAATTTGTTATGAAGGCAAGCGAGCATGCAGGCAACCCCGCCATCGTCATCGTCATCGTCATTGTCATTGCCTTTTCCATCGTTGTTGCCTGCCTCGCTGCCTTTCCACCTCCATCCCTATTCTCTCCACCTACACCGGTTCCAACTTATTAGTGTCATTTGTCAGACGCTGGCGAATATGGCAGCGGACAGTGGCGGGCAAAGTTGAAAAATGACAAGCGCGACCGCGCGAACGCCACAAACTCAGCCTCACTCTTCGCTCATTAGAGTGCGGCCCATAAAAAGTGGATGGATGCCCAGTGCCCAGATAAAGAGAACGAGAGATTCTGAAAGTGTGATGGTTGGTGGGGAGGGGGGGGGGTGGTGGTGGTGGGGTCAGAATAGTAGCCACTTGGACGCTGACTAACTTATGCAAGTCACTTGGCCGGTTGGCTAGCCACAGCTACGCGCTCTGATTTATGGCCAGTGATTAATCTTGGCCAGGTGTACGAGCCGAGAAATGGGGTGGGGGTGTTGAAGTTTGATTGCCACTTGCTCGTTGGGCGGCTGCAAATTGATGCTAACTGCTGCTGCTTGCAAATCAATTTGAAATTGGCTGTGAAAAGGCTGAGATTAGCTTAAGAAACACTAGAAGAAAATTAGAGAAGAGAAGGACATTTTATAAACCGGAGAGTGTTGGCTAAGAACAAAAACGATCCAACAGACTATTTATAAATAAAGAGAACACCTAATGGTGTTGTTTGTTTTATATTTAAGGCCGAATAGGAAACACTGTTGGGGAATACTTGTAGAAAGATACTCGCCAACAATGAAGGAAATGGACTAGGTTATTTTTCAATTGTTGGCTTTATTTCTGGAAGTTCGCAGCAGCAGCAAATTAATTGTAAGATCGCTCAGATCAGCGCCTAGCTATGCCTTTTTCTGCTCAATTATACACAAATGCCACATAATGGTACGATTTTTCAGATGTCAACTCACAAATGTGGAGAATTAAACATCATACCAAAGACGTATAGCTCGACTTACAGATCATAAAGCGTGCTCATGTGCTAATTATAAGTTTGTCAGAATTTGAATTTGTATCCTTGCTCTTCTCGGTCCTTCCATTGTTGCTAGATTCTTGTCGAGGCTTCTTTGCGCAGCGCTCTATTTGGTGGTTAGGTTTTTTACAATGCCCTTAATCACACCTTAATGCCAATAATTATGTGCAGCTAGCCACACAACCACAGCGCAGCACACAACCACACACACACACACACACACACTCTCTCGAACTCTTAAATATGCGATATGCAGCTCGTTGCTTCGCACACGCCTCGCAAAATATCTTTGGCCCGTTGTGGCTGACAGCCAGAGGCGTTGCCGTCGCTTTCGCTGCTGGTAGTGCCACGCCTGTGGTTGTGGTTGCTGCATTAGAAGCCCGTTAGCCGAAACTGAGCAGTAAACTGAGGAGCAAGTGTTTTGGCATGTTTGGCTGCCGAGAGACTTGCAAATTTCTGTTCAGGGCAAAAAATGCAAACGAAAATGCCCGGGAAAAGTTCTGCTAAGTATACGCACGCACACAGCATTTTTCCTTTCGCTTTCCTTCCCAGTTTTCGTTGCCCGTTTGCTAGCTGTATAAAATAATTTTGCTAGAACTTTTTCCACTTCATTGCCGTCTGCTTGAAGACTTGAATGCTTGAAGGATCGATGGGCACACATGGCGTATGCGTAACTGCAACTCAAGATGGGCACTTGATAGGCGAGTGCAGGGTATGTTTAATTTTCGCAGCTCTCGAGCGCTGTCAATAGCGTGGGGGGGGGGGGCAGCAGCATTATGGAAAACAGACAGTTATGTGTGCATAGCAACATCAACAACATCAACAACAAAAACAGCCACAAAAGCTACACAAGCTACAACAACAATGCAACCATCTTTGTTGAGCTGGCAACAGCTGCTCAAATGCCAAGCTGAAGCTGTTGAGTTACATCTTCTGCGGTTGCTGCCAGGCCCTCAGTCAGCATTACAAGTAGTTCCTTCTCTCCTCTACACTCAGCTATCCTATTGTGTGTCAATGTGTCAATGCGCCAATATGATATGAGTACGTGTGCGTGTGTGAGGGTGTCTGTCCTTCTATGGCGGTGATTGTGTTATAGCAACTGCTAATACGCTCATCAACGCCAAATTGCTCATACGCCATGTTGTTGAATGGGACGCTGTTTTGAGAGACGAACCTTACACACTGCACTGTAGCAAGTTGTATGTAGAGATTCCGGTACTATTACTATATAGATAATAGACACGAGATGGACCACATCAGTTACTCCAGTAGCTGCTCCAAATATCAGATATAAGAGACCCAGTATAAGAGTTATTTTCGGCCATTTTTGTGATTCCTATTTGTGTTTATAAAATTATGTAAGCGACTTGTTTTTCGTTGCAATCCATCTCATATTTCGTTCAAATAATACAATTTCATTCATTATAGTACTACTTGGCTGGTTTTTGGTAAATAATTATTACTTCATTTCTTCAAGAATTTGATATAGATGATTGAAATTGTATTTGGGGAACATGAATTTTAGGTAAAAAGGAGGGATGTCGAGTATTTCAACTGCATACGAGAGCCGAAATATGTTTTTTAATAATAACATGTAAATGTCAAAATATTTCTTATAACCATAATAAGTTATAATAAGAGCATTCTTCATTGAGTATTGAAACAATGACATTATATATAAGTATAACTTCTATGTTGCGAATATATGGAATTAACTTATGGGGCTAGGTCTGAATGGGCCTTTAATTAGAACTACCTATTGCTTAAGGATATTGCTTCTGGATTAAATTACGAAATCTTCAATAGTGCTTCATGGAACATTTAGAAACACGTTTCAGTTTTTTAAATCAACTAATTAACAGACTAACTCGGATTGCATTAATGACTGTATGGGGAGCTGAGAAGAGGCGCAAATAATGATTTCTATTATGTTTTTATAAAGTCATAAACAAAACTAGATACTCGTATTGCCTTTTCAGGAAGGTATTCTTGATAAACGCTTCTCAAAGAAAACAAAAAAAAAACACATTCAATATTTCTATAAAACTTTTTAATTTAATTATAACAAGTAGAGATACCAAATTTTGCAGAAAGATGCCTAATGAGAGTACGCTTTATGAGTTTGCTTTATTTTTTTGATTTACTCCCCCACTTGCCCCTATGGGGGATTTCTCGATTTTTATTCATATAACCACCTTTATCTCGGAGACCAAATTTAAGTCTTGAAAGAGATATTGAAAAACTACAAGCCATATCTGGTGCTGCGCTTTTGACGAACTGTGCACCTATTTTGAAAAGTTGGAAAGTCAGAGTGCAGCCTCAGCGTTGTCGGGAGTGACTCAAGAGTGCCAAGTTGTCGGTGGTGCGCAAGTACCCTGCTGTTAGTCCTGCGTACGAGTGCACTCGAAGAAAAATATCAGCGTCTGTCGTGCCTGTGTGTGCCTAACAGTTTGCCTTGCATTTGCATATGGGCCACTTGGGCAAGCAGACAGGCTCAGGCGGAGCCTTCAGAGGCTCTGAGGTTGTGGTTGGGGTCGGCGTCGACATCGGCATCGGCGCGGCGTTGGCTTTGGCTTTGGCGTCCCGAAGCCTTCGCCTCGGCCACAGTTGTGTGAAAATTGCAGCGTGTTTGTCTTGCACTTGCAAACGTCCCGGCAACTGTCACAGCGCTTTCGCATTGATTAAGTGATGGGCAAGGACTGTCGGCCCCCATCCCCTGCCAGCTCCTCCTCACCCACTTGTCAGTGCCGATTCGGGCCACGGTCTGACCCAGTAAGGAGCGTGCCGCATGTCGCAAGTGACTTTGGGCACTTTGGACAAGTGGCAAACGAGCACAAGGAAAAATTTATAAATGGACCTGACGCTGTCAAAGGATATGCTCCACATCAATCACTCCTACAAGCGTCTGTTTGTGTGTATGTGTGTGTGTGTGTGTGTGCACCATGTGTCCCAGAACGGAAACACAACAATTGCGAATCAATGTACTGCATTTCCGCTCACTCGCTGACAAGCTTGAGCCACTTGGACGCACTATGTTTTTAACGAATTGTTGTTGCAAGGACTTCCCCTCTCCGCGCTGCCCGCTTCTTTTCAATAAGCACTTTGCATTACTCTTTCCTTGCATTGTTTTTTGTTGCCGCTCCTGTTCACTCATTGTTATTAAAACAAATGGGAAATGAAATGAAGGGTGGCCACCATAAAGCCATAGCTGAGGCGGAGCTTCAAGGATAACGGCCATAGGAAGGGGTGCTTAACATAAATCTTTTCTTGCTTGGCGACAGAAAGTGCGAAGCCATATTTGACAGCGGCACTCATATGGCAACTCCTCGTTGTTATTGCTGTTGTTGTTTATTCGGTTTGTTCCTTATTTATACATACATATATGCAATATTTTACAACGGCAGCGCTTTGACAGTTTCGTTATTTATTGAGGAAGCCTATTTGGAAGTGATATACAAAATGTTGCACATGTTTTTGCTGGCCAGTAAGTGGGGGGGGAAGTGGAAAACACGGTCGAACACTTTTTTTAATGGCTGCCCTTTAATATTATTTTGTTTATTGAGAGACACGATCTATATATTTCATTTATTCACTTGCTCGTTGTTAGACGCGATTATGCGGAATGGAACCCTTGTTTCGCCGAAGGGCCTTATCCATGGCTCTGTTTGTATAAAAGGGGTTTGCCGAGCCGCATCAATAAAAATAGACAGAAGCCGAAGGTAAATTATTTGGACACAATTTTCTTGTTCTTTCTCATGTGCCTTTTTAAATGAAGAAAGACGAAATTTAAATACATACTGGGGCGTATTACACAGGTATTGCCCAGCGCGTCCTTTTAAGACAAATGGCTTCATTTAATTTCGTTTGATTTATTTGTGCGACAATTGAAAAATTCTTTAAAAGAAAAACATCTTAATTATAATATTATCCTAATTATAATATGAATAATAAACCACTCGTGGGTCACTGAAGTTTTACACCCGGTACACAAATCATCCTTTGGGTTGTCAAGAACTCTGACGATTGCACCTCTTGCTTGGCTTGAGGCGAGATTTGGCGACTGAACTGAACAAAATGTGTGAACCACGTGACCATGAGCCATAGCTGTGCTATGGGATATTGATTGGACTATGAATAGCAACCGGTGGTTGCAACGCCTCCTTTTTGCCCTCCAAAATGGCATCGCTAGGCGAATTCTGAGAAGGAACTTGCTTTTTTCCGTACAGTACAAGTATATCGGCGAAGAGCGCGGCAAATACCAAAACTACACCAAACCATTGCCGAAGAACAACTCTGTTACCAAATATCAACACGGACCATAGAACAGTAAAGAACTTGCGCGTAGTAGTCACCATAGAGCAGGCCAGTGTCCCAAACCCAGCAACCATCAGGAAGACAAATAATTGGCCCATAGCGCCACATAAAGCAATCAAAGCGATGTGAGCCCACAGCTGTGGATGGCGAGTAGCAAAATGTAGAAACTCCTTGCCCTCACCTGCAACAATTACGTAAATATATATACAAGTATATTTATATATGCTTAGTATGTTATTATCTTACCAGTCAGTATCATGGCACCACCCAACATTAGAGTGCTCCAGAAGTTCATGGCCAACATCATATGCTGGCCTGATGGCGCAGAGGCGGCACGCATACGTTCCTGAAAAGCACCACACAAGCCATCCATCGACAAGCTAAGGAAGATCAGCAGCGCACCCAGCCCCATTGTTTCAGTTGGCAAATCCGAAACTTTACTCTCCTTGTACATGAATAAAATGATGCCAACAACTAGGGTCAGCACACAGGCGTATCTTGTCCAGCTATAAGTCTTGTGACCAATCAACACGACCAGTATCATGATGGGTATGGGTTTGGCAGACTTGCCCACAACTTGCGTTGGATATGGAACCCAACGCAGCGCCATGTTTGAGGATACCATGCCAATCAAGTAGGAGAGGGCGCTCGCTGCATAGGAACCAGTGTGCGTGGTGTCCTCCTTTTGCGGCTTCCCCATCAGCATACCTTTTCCGGGCAATGGAAGTGTGGGCGGGCGTTTAACAATTTATAGCAGCTCTTACCTTTAGCAAACAGAGAATTACAAAAGCACTGTATCCAGACTAGCGCCAAGGCGTGGGTGTATTTCTCGCCAATACTCCCATCCGGCTGCACCTGATCGCCATACCGCCCGCGTGTTATATCCTCCTGCACAATTCCATATACAAAATAACAGAAGAAGATGCCGGCTGCGTATATAACAAAACGACTATTCTCCGGCATGTTCATGATGTGTCCCATTTACTTAGTACAAGTATGTATTCGATTGCAAATTGCTTTCAACTTTCACGCTTCTTGTAACATTTAAATTACATTTCAAATTGTTTATTTCGTTTTACGCGGGTATTACTGTAGTACCACGTTTTTGTCTTCGCCACTAACCATACAACATATATGTACATACATACATTCAAGGACGCTAGAAAAATTTCCTAAAGTATGAAGCCAACCAAACTTTCATTATTATGGCGCACTATTTCGCCTGGAAAAGGAACCGAGCTGGATTTGTTGAAGTTTTTTTTATTGATCATACGTATGTATAAAATATTGTTTAAACGCATCGTGCATTATTGAGTCGAAATTTTAATGTTTTGCCTTCCCCCTTGTATGCATAGATGCGTCATTTAATACATCCAGTGCTGCAAAATTTTTAGGAGAAAAAAGAACTGTTTTTGATGGGACGGAGAGTGCAAAAATTTTACAAAAAAATTTAAAAAAAAAATGCTAATTTCTTTTTTCAAAAAACGCGTAGAAAAGGTATTTACAAGTTGTTTTGGTAAACATTTAAAATAGTATTCACGCATTTTGCTTTGTTGCTCCGATGGCTTCACAGCTATCTTCGGCCACGGCCACTAAATTAACTGTTAGAGACACGCACGCGCACGCACGATTGAAATTTTTGTAAGCACAGACCTGTTATAACCATTAGAAGTAAAAGCGAAAAATATATCCATTCTAAGACCTTCAAATTTGTATTAATTTGTAGATTGTCTTATCTATATTTTAGCTAAGAAGCCGAGCTTGTCTCTCAATTCCAATGTGGCCAGAAGTGGAAAAAACTCGTTCACTTGCTTGCAGAGCTGACAGGCATATTGAGTATATATCTTGATATTTGCCTTAGCAATTCAAGGCTTCTTACTTTTTCCAGTACACAAACACACAATTCCTGGATAACCAGCACTACTTATATAGTTATATTTTTATACCCTGTACCCGTAGGGTAAAAAGGGTATATTAGGTTTCTGCAAAGTATGTAACATACAGAAGGAAGCATCTCCGACTCCATAAAGTATATATATTCTGAATCAGCATGACGAGAGAAATCGATCTAGACATGTCCGTCCGTCTGTCCGTCCGTCTGGATGAACGCGAGGATCTCAGAAACTATAAAAGCTAGAATAACCAAAGTTGGCACCCAGATTCTCCTAGGTCCGAGTAAGGACGAGTTTATGTTTTTTTAATTTCAGAGTAATGTACAGAGTACTTAAGAGTTCAGCCCTACTTTAGCATATTTTTTATTTTTTTGTTTATTAATTTATTTTAATCTTATTGTTATCATTATAATTAGTACATAAGTATTGCCTACTGAATATAAATGTATTAGTATATGTTTGGTGCTTTTTACTGTTTTTCATTAGTTATACTCTTGACAATGTATTTCAATCCTAGTTCTAAAATGCGTTTCTATACTGATTATTTTTAAGTTATGTGGTAGCTCGTTCGACAGACGAGCAAAGATGAAAAAGTGCCTTTCTGAACTGGATAATCTACTTGTATATCTTTCTTGGTTCTTCTTGATGAACTAAATGAAATTTTGTCATACAGATCTATATCTTTCGCAAACTATATTATTGGTTCTTCTTGATGAACTAAATGAAGTTTCGTCATACAGATAATTCGGTTCTTTACGATTAATGGTTCTATGCAAGAAAATTAGAGTCCTAAGTTTTATCCACGAGTGAAGGGTCAGGTTAAAAAGGTTGTTAGCGTATGTCGTTATAGAGTCTCTTCTTTTAATGTCATAAACATATCGCGCAATGCTGTTGAAGGCGACTTTTAGTTTAGTCTGGCTTGCGGCAGTTTCCGAATAGTTGAACCCCATCAAATAATGAGGGTATCAGGTATTTCTTTTTTGTTTTATTACTTGGGTTGTTAATTTTTTTCCGTGCTATGTTCGTGCTTGCTCAACATGAGCACGATATCGGAATTTGCAACACGAACACGAAGTGCCACGACCAAAAACAAGCCGCGTGTGGAACTCTACTTCACAGAAAACATTTTTTTGTTTTGATCGTTTGGAATCAGAGTGCAGACTGATTTCATTTATTCAAAAATCTTTCTTGGTAGCTAAAAAATACACAACATAAGTTTCATGCACTCAGTATACGGGCAGCATTTCTTTACTGCTCCAGTGGTTTCAAATATCCAGACGCGGCCTGCGCTAATAATATAAATTAACTCAGAATATGGAACAGAGTGCAACATTAATAGCACATACCACACAATAGAACGTGTTTGTTTTTTGTAAGTGAGCCAAACAACTTTGCAAATTACGCACACTTGAAATAAAGAGGGTTTTATCTACTTAGCGAGCTGCCACGTTTCCACGCTTTTCACATAAATATTGCCAAAATTACAAAAAAAAAAAACAAGAGAGAACGCTACAGTCGAGCAAGCCCGACAGTGAAATACCCTGTACCCAGGTAAACTTCCGACATTGAGGTATATGCGCCCATAGCATCAGCAAAAAGAGGAAGAAGAAGTTTGGGGGGATTGTACTGGCGAGAATTTCTTAGAATTGACCGAATTGAATAACATTTGAAACAACAGTATATAATTATATATTAATTATGTGTGTTTGGTTTAGGTAGCATTTGAAATGTGAACGCTATTGACGAAATTTTGAAGGGGGTGAAGGGGGGGGGGGGGGGTGGGGGGGAATAAAAAAAATAAACTCGTCCTTTCTCGGACCTAGGAGAATCTGGATGCCAACTTTGGTTATTCTAGCTTTTATAGTTTCTGAGATCCTTGCGTTCATCCAGACGGACAGACGGACATGTCTAGATCGATTTCTCTCGTCATGCTGATTCAGAATATATATACTTTATGGGGTCGGAGATACCTCCTTCTGCATGTTACATACTTTGCACAAACCTAATTACCCTACGGATACAGGGTAGAAAAACATCAAAGTGTGTTTTAATGGAGCTTTACGTTTAAGGTTTCCATTAACGTAACCGAAGCTTTCATTCAGTATTTCAAATGCCTCTCTGCATATGAAATGAAATTTGCTCACAATGACGCATCTACAAGTATGTATGCACGTATGTATATGTTTTATGGTTAGTGAAACAAGTCAAAACGGCTCTAGGCCCATTTACTAATAAGATAATAATAATAATAATTAGGCAGTATTTCAGCTCACTACCTATTGTATATGTCAATTTGTTCGACATGAATATCTGCATATTCCCAGCAAGCTTATCAAAGCCAGCCAACCAGATCGCTTGCGGCTGAACAAATTCAATTATAGTAGGACGTTCGAGCAATCACTAAATTGTGGCAAACAACTTGCAACACACCTGCCATAACAAGCTCGAAAATGCAGTCCCACAAATAATAAATAAACGCCTTCAAAATGAATGATTATGTCACGAGCATCACAAGCTAAGTAGCTACAGAGCATTCGAATAGGAACTCACACTACTGTGTTGTCAATCGAAATAACTGCCTACAGACCATTAAATGAAAACCCTTGGAATTACAATGCAAACTCAGACTGCCCTCCAATAATAGTCGGTAGTAAATATTTGCATAGGTATGGGAGCTAGTTGGTTTGCAAATATTTAGCTTGATTGGAATGTTCGACAGTCCTGGCTGTATTGTACGCAAGCTTCGCTTTATCTGTCACCTTTATCAGTCAGTTTTTGTTATATCACAAACAGCTTTCGGCTAAGTAAAAAGATAGAAAACAAATTCAAAATCTTTTTGAGCACTTTCGACCAAACCAAATTACAGCGTGTGCGCTTCAATTGTTTTGATCTGCAAAGTGTGCGCTGAGTAACGGACACAGGAGCAATAACAACAATAACTACAAATTCGAATGCAGCATCAACAATTAGGGTACGTAATTACACAGTTCCACAAAATGCCATTCAACGAGAATGCAATACATATTGTACATACATATAGTATGTGTGTATGTATGTGTGTATAATGCTGAAGTCGTGTTGTGCTGAAGTCTGTTGGTTGTTGCTCTATTTGGAGAGGGTGGCGAATGGAGCGGGGAGGGGGGACTGGAGCATAGTGACAACGACAGCAAAATGCAATACAATAAACATGAAATACACTTTTGAATGCATACCAATGTATGTATGTATGTGTAAATGTGGGTGTGCGTGTGTGTACATAAGTGTGCGTGATTGCAGAGAACGATGAATTTTGGGGTCTGCCATTGGGATGGTCAAAAGGCTGTCATGGTCATGGTCGGTCTCCAAATGCCAATTTGGCTGGCTTCAACTCATTGCTGGCGACAGTTGAAGAGTGCGTATGTGTGTATATGTATGTGCGTGCAGGGCATAGACGAGCACACATGTCGCACGCATTTGCAATTTAAACTGAATGCGCATAAATTAGTGGTGTTGCCCAACTTGCCAACAACAACAACTACAATCACGACAATGGTTGCCATGATGACAGCAGGCAGTGCCAAACCGCACCAGACACACACACACACACACACACACACGCAGAGGGAGAGACACTGTTGCACCCGTTTTTGGGTGCGCCAGTGAAGCACGGATGGCCAGGACCAGTCAGGCATGAAGTTCCAGTCACTGAAACAGGAATTATATCAAATAAATGTGCTCTTTTTTTGTTGCTGTACTTTTCCAAAGGACTTCAGCAACAACACGTACATACGTACATACATACATATGTATGTGTGTAAAAGGCAGGCGTCTCCGCAACTTTTCCACCAGAAACGGAACCAAGAAAGAGTGCGTGCTAATTAGGATTGTAAAAAACGTACATATGTACATAGATCGTCAATGTTTTGATAATGAGTATTACATTTGTCCGCTGTTTTTTTTTTTTTTTTGAACGCGTTGCACAGTCGTTCATCGATTAGGCAAAAACATCCAAACATTAATTTTAATTTTAAACTTCGTATATTTATTAAGCTTTATTCGCTACGGATGGCTTATATTTATTGCGATTTTAAACTTCGTGCACACTTTATATTTCTCCTTTTTTCTTCTTCTTCATTCAGTGCGTCCCTACCCCCACGACAAATCCATATACACACTTATTTAAATACTACTTATACGTTACGATAACATCGATACATATCGATGTACGTTAGACCTTTACATAATAGGAATTCAAAAGAAAGTTCAAACTAACTATAAATTTCACATAAATACCGGAAAAATACATAAATCAATGCATCGGTGTTTTGTCGCGACTTATCGAAGTACAATCGATGGCACTTGACGATAGATCGATTGTGTGAAACATCGGTGCTTTGTATTTTACTTACATATCGATAGTTTCTAATTTGTAGCTGCAATACATGCTATCGATACAGACTTATAATGAACAAATGTATGGGTAGATGGCAATCCTTTAACTAAACTTAACAAATGTTAAAAAGCTTACAGAATTCCTAATTTGTACAACATACATATGTTGTATGGTTAGTGACTGTACCCAAATGTTAAAAGGGTATATTAGTTTTGTGGGCGTGTACACACAGAAGGGGATACACACACAGAAGGGGATGTGGCAGATTCTACAAAGTATATACATATATTCTTGATCAGTATAACAAGATGAGTCGATTTGAAAATGTCCGTCTGTCTGTATGAACGCAAACATCTAAGTATAAGAGCTAGAATAACCAAGCTTGGAACTGCTAAGCCCGAGGGAGGACAGGTTTGTTCATTTTTTCCGGTGCACTCCCCTACTACCCCGCTATTAGAAATATCAGATTCGTCCCGTTATTCGTGAAATATTGAATTCAAATTTGGTAGTTACATTTAGTTAGTGATTATGAGTCTGTATGCCTAGTTTTATCATGATAGATCAACTGTGAAGAAAGTTGTAGCCATAAATGTAATCTAGGCCAATTCTAGGTTTTGTGATGCTCCAGATACGCATAAACACACATAGACACGATTCTATAGTAAATGCATGTATTGAATAAGTTTTTTATTTTTTTAACATCATGAATTTTGTTTTAAAATATTGTTTTTTATTTTTCTTTTTTGTGGGAGTGGGTATTTAAGAGTTCAGCCCGCTCAACTGTAGCATTCCTTTCTTGGTTGCTAACACTCTTTTCTTTTTAACCCATAGTTGAACCGAAAATGGATCATTGGAAATGGCTTTACCACATCCTCGACTTTGCTATAATATGGACCTCATTTATACGTCTACCCCTCACCATGAGCAAGCCACTTAACATTTGGGGTATGTGGTATGAGGAAAGTGCCAACCTGCAGGTCTCTGTGGAATGGCCATCTGATAAGGAATATTATGTATCTGTCTGTTTTACGTTCTTCAAGTTTCTGGCCACTAACTATATGTGCAATCATACATCAGTACTTAAGATACCGTCTCTGCGACGCAGCTATTTGTGCTTTTGGGTATGGGTGCTGCCCTGGTGCCTTGGGGCAACAATTGCCTCGGTCTGTTACAGTCCCATCTGGGCCATCTTTGTTATACCGTACAGATGGCGTGTTGCTGACGCGGACTTTTACTGTTTCCTCATGCTGACCATACTGATCCTGAAGCTATCCGCTATTTATGGATCCATTCTCAAATCCTCGCGCACCTTCATGCATCATTTGCTGAATAATCCGAACGTAATGGACCACACATAGCAGGACAGATACTGCCATCTCTATTTGAATTTGAATAAATTGAAAACGCGTTGTATGCATTAATATAATATTTGTATTATTATTATGTAAACCTCTTATATTTTGTAAGCTTTAATAGCGACGGTTTTCTTTAACACGATTTTAAATTATTCTCACACACTTTGCTTCTATTCTCTGCTTCTTCTTCTATCAGTGTGTCCATACACCCACGCAGTACAATAATTACCCAGTTTCCAATATTAGATATACGTTACAATATTATCGATATATATATCGGTATACGTTAGGCCTTTACAATTATACATATTAGAGCTAGGGATGTAAAAAAACATCGATGTATCGAGCATCGACGATGTTTTTACCACGATGCATCGATGTTTTCCGATGTTTTTTTGCTAACGATGCATCGTCGATCCATCGATGTTTGTCCAAACATCGAACATTATTAATGTTTTGTTTGACGGTCACATTTCTTTGTGTGGCTTACCGAAAATGGTATGTATATTTATATCATAAATTATTTGATGTTTTTGTTAAAATGTGTATTTTATAATATAAATTTTAGATTGTTAAGTATTTGATCTTCTTTTTTTCGTATGTAATGTCAAACTTAATATGCCTAAGAGGTGTAGCTGCAACGCGTCGTTATTTTAAAAACTGTTATAATAAGTTACAAGTTCATCAAAAGTCAATATTACGAGTACTATTTTGATTAACTACATTAAGTAAAATGCTATGACAGTCTCTTTTGATATATAAACACTTTTTATTTCAAGCTTCTCTGCTGATTAGCTTCCTAATAATAGCTTTTTTTCTATGGAAAGTTAATGCATCGATTTTTTATAACGAGACATCGATGTACATCAACATCGATGTTTTCCCTTCGACTTACATCCCCAATTAGAGCTGCGAAAAAAAATCGATGCAAAATCTATTTAATTTAATCGAATTTAAACATCGATTTTGCTTGTTGAGTATCGATTAATCGTGTACATTTAAGTGCACGCATACTTGACGGTGACGTTGAACGGCGGGTAAAAGTAAGTAAACTTAGGTTAGTATGTACAACTAGACTAGACAAAGTAATATACACTTAAATCTGCTTTTACACGGTAGATTGGTTTCAGGAAAAGTCGTGTTAAAAAACCATCTAACAAAAAAACATTGATCATACGTTATTTTGAATCGTGCTAAATGAAATAAAATCGTGCAACCATATATAACATTTTTGGTACTGCTCTTTATTATTAATAAATATAAGCTGTACTTTAATGACGGGCTTTTATAAGGGTGGGATCTGTGAGGAAACTGTGAGACAATGGTAGGGACTTGTCTTGATATGCATTGGCTTTTGAAGTCCGAGTTGGCTTGCAGTTCTAGAGCATATTGGCGACAGGTTAAATGTAAGTTTTGTTAAGTGGTGCTCTCTCTTTTATGAATTCCATTGTAACGTATATTTCTGAATCAAATGCAGTCGCTAATTTTGCCCAACATTGATTTTCAGAAGGCATGTTATAATATCACATTGGGGTGCATTTTTTGAATCAGAAAACTATTCCCCACACCTATGTACATATAACATATTTATCGTTAAAGTATATGTCTGATATTTAGTAGAGCCAAAATGCTGCTTGAGAGCGAGAAGTAAGTGAAGCCTTTAGAGCTTGACATTCTAAAAGGACGGTCTTCCTTTATCGGTATGCAGCAGTGCTTTTCCTTGGACTGATTGCTTGCATTGCTTGCATGAATGCATATTTTTGCAATTTTCATTTTGATAAATTTTTGCTTGGTGGGCGGGTCGTGTCAGCCTTTGGCGTTATCTTAATTAATTTTATTGCCGTCTGCTTGACAAATGCTTGCATCATGTTGTGTATTGCAATTATGCATAATGAAATATTTTTGCACTTTTTATCCTGCCTCAAGGCACATTAATGAGACAAACGATGAGGAGGCGGGCTAGGGCGAGGGCGAGGGTGTGTATCTGAATGAAGCGAAAAAAAAACACAGGCATTTGGTGCTTGGCATTCCCTTCGCTTGATTTACGAGCTCGAATGCCCAGCATGCAATTATTTTGGCCAGCAAAGTATTAAATGAATGGACATGGACTTGAATATTCGGCTTCAATTCGAGTGAAAAGTTGATTAATGCGCGTTTTTCAATTTATTTCTCAGGCTAATTGAAAAAACGGCCCAAAGTATTTAACAAGCGTTTTTATCGGCATGACAATTTGGCGAATGTCTCTCAAAATGTAAATGTGAGGAAATTTGTAAGTTTTGCCAGAGCACATTAAAATCAAAATGATAAAGATTGAAGCAACAACAGCAACACGAGATAGACAACGACACAAGAGTTATGTAAGCGCGTACAAGAAAATGAAAATTCGGAAGCAGATGGAAAATGGGAATCTTTTTCGTAGTATGAAGGAGGCGAACGTGAATTGCTGACTTTGTCGAAAGTGCGTTGAAAACAACAGCAACTACGACAACCGTTGAAAAACGAGCTGAAAAACAAAACTGACAGCAGCTACGACAACAAGAACAACGACAAGAATAATAACAACAACCATAAAACGTTGTCAGCCATTTTATAACTCACAAATATGGCAATGGAAAATGGTCAGAGATTTTGTATCATAAATCCATGGGCTGTGTTTTTGTCGCTTGCCGCTTGCCTTGCCTCGCCTCGCCTCGCCTCCCCCAAGCCCCCAAGCCCACACCAACACCCGCACTCACACCGACCTAGACGCCCACAATACACAGCCCAGAACTACAGAGCTCCCCAGTAACCCGCGACTCGTAGTCTAAAAATGATTGCCGACAGCTAAAAACGATTTACGAGCGCTCTTGCCGCTTGCCATTTGCCCATTTAGGGGACCTGATGAGCCACAGAGATACTATTTTGCATCGTTTTCATTCTCATTCGCATTCGCATTCGTATTCTAATTCCCATTCTCATTTAATTGTGATTGGATTTATGTTCATAAGCCAGCAGTGCCAGGCTTTCGTAATTCCATACCGCTAGAATATTTGTTGTTGCTCCTGTTCACTTGGTGTTTTATGTTTTGTATTTGTTTAATGCTAATTTTTATTACTGCGCGTCGTTAATTGATTCAAGTATAGAACGGAATAATTACGAGCAATCGATTCGGCAATGCACTCATAGGACAAACAATTTCACTTACAATTTCACTTTCGACAAACATTGAAAGCTGAGACTTCCACCCTTTTGAAATGTTCCATCGTTTCAAAATTTCTCTTCAATAAATAAAATAATGATACTTTTGTTTCAATCCTAATATAATTTGGATAATCTAAAGTCATTTGTAATTCATTCAGTGCTTTAAACATGATTCTGCACGTTATTTATTTTGGTTATACATTTATTTATTTTCTAATTGGGCTGAATTAATTAAAATTCAGTCGGCTCATTTTTAGCTTAAATTTCAGTCCTGCAACATTACTACTTGTCAAAGTTTAAAATAAAATCATAACACTGTTCTAATTACGATTTAATTTCCTAATAAATAACATTCTTCTTATTGAATAAGCATTTTGTCGCACAATTTGTATACATAACACATAATATATTAAGTAGTCGTTTATTTTCTCATGAAATTTTTGTTATTTTATCTTAATTCCTACAAATAATTTTTGAAATGTACGTCAAAGGAAATTGGCGCATGTGCAGAATCGAAGTAAAGGAGAAAACAATTAAGTTCCTCTTACTTGTATTATAAAGAAGTTGTTCTGATAAACATGCCTGAGACCTGGGGGCCTTATACTTACATACATATGTATTTCTACAAGAAAAGGCATGAGTTCGTGTAATAAAGTTTTCCTTTGCGCCTTGTGTGTGTGTGCCTGGGTGTGGGTGTGGATGTGCATTTGAAACTTATTGTTTAAGGTCAACTTCAAGTCAAATTGCAGGCTGCTTAAGCCTTTCGCATACAAAATTATTTACAGAAAGCTAAAAACTAACAAAGTCTCAAATTAGCTGGGAATAACGATGGAGTGAGAACTCCTTAAAGTTGCACACATATTAATAATTGCCGCACATGTGTGTATTTGAAATCATCGCTTATTCAGACAAAATGTCCTTATAGTAAATACTTACTAAATTGCAAATATGTATGCCATAGAGTAATTAATCATTGTCACAGTTTGCAGGCTTTTAGGAGCCATGAAACAAAATTGTCTGCTTTGACACTAATCGGATTAAATGCTTTAATCTGCACTTCACTATTCAATAAGCAGGTACTAAAATTTTAATTTCAATTTCAGTTCAGATACTTAAAGGCGCATTTTGCAGGAGCTGATGCAATTGAAATTATTGACTGAATATTATATTAATAAATTAGTATGTTATATATTAACTTTGAAAGGCTGATTTGTGAAATATTTATTTTAAATAAATTAAATATTGCCAGATGCTTCCTATATAGTATAGTATGACGAATACTTCAAGACCAAAGTGCGTCTGCTCTGCTGTTGTTCCCTTTGAACGTCGCCATCCACAAGGATACAGAGACCAAAATTGTAGATCCAGCTTCAAGACTTCGAGGCTTCAAGTTGCGTTGTTAATTTGTTGGCATACTTTTGTTGTGAGAGGAAATTTTAATTAAATGAAGCTTCTGAAATATCACACGGATTGTTTGTTGTTTGATTCGCACTCGTTTCGGGCGCAATTGAGAGAAAACATTGCCTACATTTATGCTTCTCCTCGAGGGACTTACAATTTCGCACTGTCAATTGGCTTTCGTCGTCGCATCCTTGCATCCTCGCATCCTCACATCCTCGTATTCTCAACGCACTCAACGCCTTGAAATTTCACTGATTAATTGCTGGGGTAGACTTTGCGTTTTTTGTTTCCTGTTTTCGGTTTTTGTTTTCTTCCATTTTTGTTGTGCCGTTTCCAATTTTTATTTGTTGTTGTTTCCAGTTTTCGCTTTCCTTTTGTATGGCCTGTTCTTGTTTTCGCTCTCGCATTCGGCTCTGACTGTTGCTGATTCTGATTCTGATTCTGATGTTGTTGGGCTTGCGGTTTGAGCGTTCTCCAGTTTTTATTT